AGTGAACCTGTGAGACACTGTATGAAGGCAGGATGTCACCACTCCACTCTGAGTGAACCTGTGAGACACTGTATGAAGGCAGGATGTCACCACTCTGAGTGAACCTGTGAGACACTGAATGAAGGCAGGATGTCACCACTCCGAGTGAACCTGTGAGACACCGTATGAAGGCAGGATGTCACCACTCTGAGGGAACCTGTGAGACACTGTATGAAAGCAGGATGTTATCACTCCAAGTAAACCTGACGCCCTGCAGCTTTGACTTGGGGTTTCGTTTTGCTCTCTAGACACACGTGTGTCATCTGTCCTCTTCTGGGATCTTCCAGAGAACTTGTGCATTTCAGCTCAGATACCTTCATAACCTCGAGGGCCTGGCCCACAGAGGCCACATCTGAGCTGCTGGACGTGAAGCCCACAGGTTTGTAGAACCCTTCTGGACTCCAGGTGGGCAGGAGCTCCTGCCCAGACCTTGCAAATCCACTTGCAGCCTGAGGCCCTGCAGATGAGAAGTCACATCCAGCTTCTCTCACCTTGAAAATACATAAAATATTTTTCCAAGCATTAGACCTCATCGCTTTTGCCTGACATAGATGGCTCCCCACTGGTGTCACTAACAGTCAAGCAGCATGTCGCTGCTGATTTCTGAATGGGATGCCTCTTTCCTCTGGAAGCACAGGGATCTGACATCTATAGATCCCCAGCTTGCACCTGCTTGAGGCCCATGCCACTCAAATGCATGGGAGGTTATGGTTAGCCCACAATGAGTGCATTTTATCTCTCTCCTCCATTGTCACTGGATTTTTGAATGTGGGGTCTTCCATTTCATTTGCAGGTGTTTATTGCCCTCAGGGACTTGCCAAGTTCAAAGACAGCCCAATGCTAAGTACAGATGGCCCTGAGCAGCTGGCCCCTGAGCTGCCTAGGAACATTAATATTCAAAAAAAGGCCCACTGTTTATGGCATTAGTTTTAATCTCTAAGGTTCAATTAAAAAGAGCAAAACTAAATTTCTCCCCATTAATGTCTATTTAAAAAATAAGCTTGACGTCACTAATTTGGAGAAAAATAATACAGAGGGTATTTATCTCCCCAGAGAAACCCCTACTGGGTCTGACTATAGGTTATAGGGGACCCTTCTCATCTGCTAGGAGCAGTGTGAGGGCACCAGGCTCATCGCTGGCATCCTCCTGCTCTGTAGGCCCTTCCAGCTTGTCCCGCCAGTTACCAGCCTTATAATCTGGGGTCTGTTCTCTTACTAAGTAGTGATATATACAGCTACCTGTTCAGAATGATTTATTACAAAATCATAATTTTAAAACACATATCACACTTTTCCATGCAGATATGTGTGTATGTATACTTTTGAAAAGGAAAACAATATACATTAAAAGAAGATATTGGAAGTCCATACCTAAGATGTTCACTGTGATTATCTTTGGGTGATGTTAAGTATAGATTGTTTTGGCTCAGCGCCTGTGGCTCAAGTGGCTAAGGCGCCAACCACGTACACCCAAGGTGGCGGGTTCGAATACAGCCTGGGCCCGCCAAACAACAATGACGGCTGCAACCAAAAAATAGCCAGGTGTCATGGCGGGCGCCTGTGGTCCCAGCTACTTGGGAGGCAGAGGCAGGAGACTTGCTAGAGCCCAGGAGTTGGAGGTTGCTGTGAGCTGAGATGCCACGGCACTCTACCCAGGGGGACAGCTTGAGGCTCTGTCTCAAAAAAAAAAAAAGTATAGATTGTTTTGTTTCCACCATATTTTTCTGATTTCTAAGTTTCGAGCATTGAGAAGATACTGCTGCTTTTAATAAGGAGAACATTATTTTAAATCCAATCAAATTATGATATCTCAAAATTTATGGGATACCAGTTAATCCTGCTTAAAAGGAAATTTTTGTGTAAATATCTTAGGAAAGAATTAAAAATCAATGATCTAAACATTTACCTCAAGGAAGTAGAATAAAAACAAACAAATTAAACCCAATGAAAATAGAATCTAAGAGTAGAAAACAAAGAAAAGGGAAAGAGTACAATAGAGAGAAATCAACAAGCTTCAAAACTTTGAAGAAAGAAAGAAAACAAATAACTATAAGACTCCTTCAGAAGGGAGAAGGTAAAAATAACCAACATCAGGGATACAAAGCTACTGGGGATGCTACTATAGGTACCGCTGATGATAAAAGCTGGTAATAGGCCCGACGCAGTAGCTCAGGGCTGTAATCCCAGCACTTGGGAAGGCTGAGGTAGGAGCAAGAGTGAGACCCTGTCTCTACAAAAATAGAAAAATTAGCTGCGTGTCGTGGCGGGCGCCTATAGTCCCAGCTACTCAGGAGGCTGAAGCAGATCATCACATAAGCCCAGGAGTCCAAGACTGTAGCCAGCTGTGATGATGCCACTGTATGCTAGCCTGGGGGCAGAGCCAGATTCTACCTGTCCTTAAAAAAATAAAAAGATAAAAAAAAAGGTTCTACAAACCTATGTAAATAAATCAGAAAACCTGTACGAAAGGAAGAATTCTGAGAAAAGTACAGTTTATCCTATAGCTCTATGAAGAAACAGAAAATCCCCCCGTTTTTTAAAAATTGATATAGGGTCTCGCTCTGTTGCCCAGGCTGAGTGCAATAGCATCATCACAGCTTGCTACAGCCTCCAATTCTTGGGCTGGAGGGACCTTCCATGCCTGTAATCCTAGCACTCTGGGAAGCTGAGGTGGGAGGATTGCTGGAGCGCAGAAGTTTGAGAACAGCCTGGGCAAGAGTGAGACCCTGTCTCTACTAAAAATTGAAAAACTAGTGGGGCATTATGGTGGGTGAATATAGTCCCAGCTACTTGGGAGGCTGAAGCAGGAGGATCGCTTGAACCCATGAGTTTGAGGTTGCTGTGAGCTAGGCTGACATCATGGCACTCTAGCCTGTGAAGAGAGTGAGAGGCTGTCTCAAAAACCAAAAAACTGACACCAATATATGGTAAAATCTCATACAGGTATCAAACTAGAAATCGAAAGGAGACTCTAAATCATACAGGATATCTACAGAAACCACGGTTAGCATCACACGCGATAGCAAAACACTGGAAACCCTTCCTCAGAGGTTCAGGAAGGACAGTGATGCCCATCACCTGTGGTCACTCTATCTGGGGGTCCGGGCAGTGCAGGTGTGAGCAAGAGAGATAAAGTGTATGAGAACTGTAAAGGAAGAAATGTGACAGTGACCTCTGAAGGGGGGAATTCATTGACAATCCACAGGACTCTACAGAGGAGCTCTCTGTCACAGGTGGGTGTGTGCAGATGAGGTCTGAAGATCAAGTTCAAGAACTCATCCCAGAAGAAGTGAGACACGGCTCACTGCTGACTATCATACAGTCAGGTGCTTCCAGGTGCTCCCCTTGGGAAGCTATGCACCAACACCAGCGCCTAGTCCACCCTTCAAAGTACTTTTTCCAGGATGAATTTGCAAACTTGTCAGGCCTCATATGATGACAGCTCGGAGGGCCATTCCAGAAAGAGTTCCAAAATTGCTTTGAAGTGTGCAATAGGCAT